TTATGAACTTAATACCATATCGCCAAAAAGTATTTCTCGTCGTACATTCCGAATTGACGGTAGATTTGGCTTAAGTATTAGGAATGACTATAATATAAGATCAAACGAATATCTTAAAGTGAAATTCAGTCGGTAATAATAGACTAAAGTCAAATTAGAAACTGTGTCAATAATCAAATTAGAAACTTTTTAAATTGTGCGTCCTACCATGTAAGATTAAAGAGAGGTACATAGTAAATATGTAATAGTGCTTAAGGAATAAGACAATGAAATATAAATAACGTATATGAATAATCCTGACGACTTTGTTCAAAGTCTACGTAGGTTTTATGCAAAGTCTAAATATTATAATCAACCTAAGCATGTCTCCAGGAGTATAAAATTATAATTCTTATTACAGTTCAAGTTAATTTGTTGATTCAGTTAAAGCTAAGCGCTCCCTTATGCAAATAACGACCAAACAAATTACACGAAATAATGTATATATTTGATTATTAGTCTGTTGCCGCCCATATAGTTTTAGTTCAACTACCCACACGTAGACATTGTTCATATTCAAAATATCTTTATTCATGTACATAGGTCTATTACAGACTCTTATGATATGTCAAATTTACCGTCAGTTAGGAATGATGTCGAGATGAGAAGAACTGACAAGAAATTCTCAACTTCAGACATTATTAATTTTCAGTTTATTTGTATAATTCCTCGCTGACCTAACGGTTTAGACACTGCTATAATTCCGAGGGTCGCGGGTTCGATCCTCGCACGACATACACATATATATTATTATTGAGTATGATTGTACGTATTGGTCTGAATGTTTTCTATGTAGGTATATTATATATGTATATATTTACAATCCAAGGCGGGAGTTGGCCTTCAGCCGCTCCATAAGTTCTTCCGCGGGTTTGGATTTCCATCTGCACTCGCCCCCTAACGTCCGGTAAAGCTGTAAAGGTAGGGCTGAAGCCAACAGCATTAGATTAGTCCAAAAAAGAAAAAAGATATATTTATATCAGTAGTTTAGTATCCGTAACATATGCTCGGTTTAGTTTTAGACTAAATGACGCTTTGTGAAAATGAAGTTAGGTTCGTTAGCCCATTGTGACAAATTCACCAGGATTTACGGTTCCCCCTAGGAACGTGATAAATTCTGGTGAATCCAACCCCTCGTAGAGATCAACCTGACGTGCTTGCAATGTGTTTATTAGTTTACATCACTGATAATTCCCTTCCCCCTTTATTTGTAGCAACAAGGTTCATATGATCATCACTGGATGTTGATTTTTAGCTTTTTTAAATACTTTTGCTTCATAACCACAGATTAAAAAATATTTTTATTTTTCTGATAGCTGTGATGACTTGTTCTATCTAGTGCTTTAGGTTTATCGTCGACTTTTGGGACATCCTGTATGGTATATACCAATTGTTACCATAAATAAAATATATGAATAAAGTAGTCAAAACTATCTGTGCTCTACCATCTGGGATAACAGTGTGGAAAATATGTTTTCTAAGTAATGAGGATACAGGTTGATAAATAATAAAAAAAAATTAATGAAAGGGCACATTTATTAATCTCTCATTATTATACAAGTTATCTGTATAGATACTCAACTATACATGAACTACGTACACTCACATATATACAGTCCTTATATAAATTACATTATACTATTTACATCACAGTGTCGGTTAAAATAAACACGAATTAAAGGCAGTCCTTTAAATAAATAGAAGAACATACCATAATTATGATTATTTAAAAACATAGTTATTTTTCCCCTCCGATCGATCCCCCGTGCAATTCAAACGGGGATCGAAATTATGATCTGAGCCAAGGATTGAACCCCTAGTGGTGCCTTCAGACTAAAGTCGTATCCGTTAGACGAGAGTTGGCCTTCAGCCGCTCCATAAGTCCTTCCGCAGTCTTGGAATGCAGATAGCAATCTGCACTCGCCCCTATTGTTCGGTGAGGCCAGCTGCGGCCAATAGCATTAGAATAGTTCGAAAAAAATGTAATTTTAACAAAAATTATAGGCATTTATTTTTAACAAGTTCAAGTTAAAATAATTTGCAGTCCGTAATAAAAATAAATAAAATAACTTGCATTCGTAACGGTCGTACTCATCTCCTAAATTAAGTACTAATCAGTATAAAAAATGAGTATTATAATTACTTTAGTTTAAGACGATAAAAAAAATATGTTCAATTTCTAAACTAGTAATCCGCCTCGCATTCGCATCGATGTAATTATTGTGTTGATATTTTTTAGTAAAATATAATTAGGTATGTTACGCAATGATATTCCACATGTTAGAGAAATTAAAAATCGATAAAATAATATTTTTATTTATTTTATATTATAAAAAAAAAATGGAGATATTATCTTTTCTATACATAATAATAATTTAGCAATGTATTCACTTCCGGTTTTTCGAGAGTAGTGGGTCCTAAGATGGCGGATGAACAGTGAGTGACTCGGACCAAAAAAGGCATTTCACGAGCAACGCGCGAACGGATTGGACGTGTCTTGCGCACGTTGATAAAACTAAGAAAATCTTTTATATTCATAACAAGTGAAATATAAAAGAACGATGGCTAAATTTAAAATTTATAAAAACACTCCATAAACATGTTACCAAGAGGCAAGTAATAAGTCAAGTAAGTACTTACATTACGGAATTATTCTAAACTACATTTTATTTATATTTTAACTTGAAATCAAATCAAAAAGGATTCAAGAAAGTATACTTTCTGATTTCAGTTGTTCAGATTATGATAGAGCCAGGGGAAGGTCGTGTAGAATATAAATAGAATGTAGAATAATTAGTAATAGAAAGTATATATATTAAAGTAATATTTTAAACATTTAAATGCCTCATATAATTAGTACTTATTTAAAAAAAGTATGTATCAATGAACCACACTAGAATATCTACTAATTATATAATAGTAATAATTTAGTTTTATTTACATTTATATCTATTTACAAAATAAAATAATAAGAATATTGACTAAACAGGAACACCAAAAGAACTGTTTACATTAAAATGTATAGCGTAAATTTATAATAGTGTAATTTTTTATTAAATTTTTTTTTTAATTTATATAAAATTTGATATGCTTTTATTGGAAACAAAAACAAAACTTTTAAATGTATTATTTTTGTTAAGAGAATTTTACAATACTTTTTCTGTGACTTACTTTCAAATTATCTAAATAGAGATATACCAACTTATGTAGCGAGTCCATTACAATACATATATACAGATATAAAATCAAAGGTAGTGAGTGGGAGGTCTTAGCCCAGTACACAAATTGGGCTAATAAATAATTAGAATAGGTGTTGCTATAATAGATAACAAAATTCCAAGTGGACAAAGATTGTTGTTGCCAGCTTCAATAAAATTTAAAAAAAGAATAGCTATTTATGTAATGTATTTTCTTAACTTCGTATGTAAAAGGACACAAGTTTACCATAAAGTATATGAAATAATGAAATAAATACATTTTACTATATAAGAACTATCTACTAGTGTACATTTTATAAATACATCATTTACAATTAAATTAATACCTTAAATACAGTTCAATTACATAAATCTTAAAATTATAATATCTTATAGGAAAATCATTTTCACACGTTAAATTAATGAAATATTTTTACAAGTTTTTTTAATATATTTTATATGGAGAATGCTGTAAACTATTATAATAAATAACTACATATGGAACAAAGTGAGAAAACATTTATAAAATTATATTTAATATAAATAAAATATTTTTTGCATAGGTGTGTAACATTGTTTTATAGAAAGACCAAAATACAATATAAAATGTCTTAGAAATTTCAGTCAATATGGATTTATATATCTTATTAAAGTATATACCTATTCACATGTTTATATATAAAAATGAATCCGTATTTTCGTTCGTCACATCATAGCTCAACATTCAAGACATTTTCAACTTTAGAGAATTTAATTCTTTTTGTGTTTTTTAAAATACTCTATGTTCTTTTTCTAAGTTCTTATCGAAGGATAAAATGAGGAAAAATGAATAAAAATATTTGAAAATGTCAGAGCTTTACAGAAATATTATTTTCTTATGTTTTTATTGTTTGAACAAATAATTGTTTTTTCTTAAATCTTTGAAATATCTGTTATAGTACAATACGTAAGTAGGTATATACTTTATAAAAAAATATAGAAATTATGAAAAAAAACTATGTAATTTATCATTTTACAATTAATCAGTTTTTTTATTAAATCTATAAAAGTTTTGTGTTGATTTCTATAAATTTTAATTACATTATATAATAAACCAATATACTCAGATGTTATGAATAGATATATAGATATATGTACAGAATTATTGCTTTTTATATAGGCAACGAGCAAGTGTTGCCAGTTGTAAATCTTACAGAACTAATTCCAGAATATCTGAGCACATTAGCCAGAAATAAAATGCCTATCAATATTTACGAACGACTTTCCTTTATGTATTCCACAAGATGGTATGTGGTCACCATCGACTATATACATGAACAGCACCATTTACTTCGCGTCATCATGTGACATGGTATCATGGTTTTTTTATAAAAACAGCAGGAAAAATTAGGATAAAACTTTCACACAGTATTTCGTTAACTACAGGACAAAGTTTGAATGTATTACCCCCGTAAAACGGGATATATATGTAAATGATAATAATAATAATAATAATAAGATTTTCGAGAATAAAAAAGTAAAAATAAATAATACTCATAATATACATTTATATGCATTTGTGCATCATATACTGTAACAAAGAAAAATGTGCCCGAGAGTTTAAAGCTCGTTCATAAATATGATTGCATTATTTTATTTATAATAAACATTTGTGTCTAATAACACACATTAGTATATAGTTATTCGGGTTATAACACGAATAATTTTATGGTAAATAAAATTATTTACCTTTCGCAACGTTTCAAATAGTTTGCACTAGCTGAGATCAAAAGCTAATTGAGAGAGGTAAATTCGTGTTAAGACCTAATTAAATATATTAATAATGCATTATTCTAATTACTATCTTTATGTATTAAACCATCTGAAGACCTTTGCTGAGACTCTCGACATGTTCTTTTGCCTTCATCCTTAGTGCTGCGATGGATGAGGAGCGAGGATCAGGGGGTACCGGTGGTGCAGGCGCCGCTGGTGCCGGTGGGGTGAGGTAGCTTGGGTACCCAGAAGGTGGGTGACTTAAGAAGCCTGTAACAATGAAACAGTTTTTAAAATTGTTGATTATATGGGCTGATGATAATCTTGAACTATGGTAATATTCTTGGCTGGCCTTTACAGCTTCACCGAAGAATTTTTTTTATTGGGGTTTTTGGGCTATTGCTAAGACTGCAACCTGCACCTAAATCTATTGTGCTCGCCCTTTTTCAAAGTTCGCTACCTTATGCCCGTCAGGGATAATAATTGAAGGACATTCTTAAGAGCGATGGTTTTTATCTCCTCAGGATAGAGTGTATACTTTCCAAATTATTTGAGATATTTCGAAAAAAAAGAGTAGTTTATAAATTATTATTATTATTATTATATATTCTTTTTTTTTACAAAAAAGAGTGTCTGGATGGTGTCCCCATTACTAGCAATGTACCATGTTAAGTTTACCACGCGATTACCCTGGAAACCATCATGTTTTTTAATTCCTGGTGAATTTGTCACGATGGGCTAACTGATCTGACCTCATGTTAATGTTATCATACTCCACTGGTGCCCCACCAGCGTAAACCGTTAGTGCAGACAGGAGTACCATTCCATTATCATCTATTAAGAGAAAAAAAATTACCAGGTAAAGCTGTTAGTAGCGGTGGCGCCAACCAGGGGTCTACTGGTAACCCAAGACCACTGAGGCGGGGTATGCCTCCCCCAGCTCCGCAGCCATACTCTGACAGACCTAGTCTGGCAGCCTCCATTTTCTCCTGACGACGCCATTTGGCTCGTCTGTTTTGAAACCATACCTGGAAGTAAAGAAGCAGGTTATTAGATTCGATTCACATTAAAAATAAATGAAATATTTAAGAGAGATATTTAAAACAAATAGAGAGATGCTTGAATAGACGCTTATTATCTCATCACAAGAAGAATAAGCAAGAAACGCTCTTTTAAACAATCCTTGTAAGTTCACATTTTACAAGTCGAAACGTGTGAATACAAACTACCAACCAGCATTAATTTATTTAGGCTCAAATATAAAAACACAATAAGATTAAATCATTCGTAGTGATAAGAGTAGACCAGTACCTACAAGCAGCACTCGTTCACGTTCACGAATTGTATATAAAGGACATCATATTTTAAATATGGATAAAAGAATATACAAAACTGCCCTCACTGGCATTGTAGGTTTAACAAAAAAACACACCATCACGGCTGTTATCACGAATGATGTGATCGGAAACATTACTATTTATTGACGTCGTGGTGAACTCAATATTTCATTTGATAAGCTTAAATTTTGCTGGTTATTTTGAATTGGATCTAAATTGACCGCGGGTTAAGTAGTAGGTATAGATACACGCACATTTATAGTTTATGTAGTGAAAGAGAGAAGAATGCTAGTTATTCTTAAAGTTGTGCATTAAAATACATTAAATCAATAAAACAAAAACAATAAACACAATACAACGTATTTGACATACAACTCTTTTATTTATTATTAAAGTCTGACCACAGACTCGAAGATAGATTAATATTGTTTGCTTTTAATATTATTTGTCTATAGTCTTACTGAATTTTAAATAAATTGTCGTTGATGTCACATAGAGACTAGATGGTGTTGGAGTCACTAAATGCTGGATTAACCTGGCGAGATGTTGCTATTGACGCCTAAGAAATGATTATAATGGTCTAATTATGCAATATTACTTAACATTCTACATTATTGGATATGTTTTTTTTTAGTTTTTGCATATTTAATTGAACATATATATCTAAAACTGTGACAACAGTCTGCCAAATGAAGACTTTGATGACCTCGATGGCCTAGCGGCTTAACACACCGCCTTACTTCCGATGGTCGCGGGTTCAATTCCTCGTACGGTACAAACATTTGTATTCATATGTATGATTGTTTGTGTCGGTGTTTTCTAAGAATAATATGTATGTATTTACGAAAAAAACCTATGTATTTGTATAAGTTATCCAAGCTAGTTTAACTTGGGTCTTGATTGCGCTGTGTGAATTGTCCTGAGATTATTATTATTATTAGAGACAATCTTTACTGCGATCGTTCGTCATTCTATATTCGAGGAATTCATCATAAAATGTCTCTGTTTTGTGCTCGTTCGTTTCTATTGTTGAACATATTTAATACTTGTGACAGGTAAGCTATCAAATGTTGCATGTCCCTAACCTGCTGACTCCGAAGTGAAATCGAAGTGATCACGCGAACTCCACGTATTTTTACCGTTCTACCGACCCCCCTGAATATATCATTTCACACTACATTCTGACACCACATTTGTATCATGTATCTGCTACATCGGCGATCGAAAATAAACTATATCGTTGATAACAATAAAAACGATATTCCGCTGTTTATTTCGGGTAACAGGGTGGATGGTACAATAATGGTACACCGTTTTCTATGATTGCGTTCATGTTCATGCTTCACAGTATTCAAAGTTAGTTTTGTTATGTCTGGCCTTACGAACTGTTTAGAAGTGACGTGCTCTCTGATTTATTGTTTGAGCGTAAACCTTTTAGAGGTTTATTGTGGCTGGGGGTTGTAAAGTTGGATACTTTAATAAATGGTGATACATTAATTAGAAAGGATCCATAAAATATTTCTCTTTAAAACAAAAGACACACAGTCACGATTTTTATCCTAAATGAGGTAGTCAGAGACATTGTTAACTGTGGCTGATATGGTGAACGCAACATCTGGTATGCTCACAATTCGCTCATTATATTTCAACATTAATATCAAATTTAAAGACAAACTTCCTATTACAAAGTATCCTTTAGAATAGTAAATTACTAAGTAAATTTATAATAATTTCCCTGAACAATTCACATAGTGCCATCTAGTCCCAAGTTAAGTAGAGTTTGTGTTAGTTAATACATACATAGTATACATAGAAAACACCCAGACCGACACAAACAATTATACTCATGAATACCTGTAAATACCATACGAGGAATAGAACCCACGACCATCGAAAGTAAAGCAGTGTGATAACCGAAATCACCGAGGCCGTCGACTTATATCTAATGTAATTTACATAAATATATAATAGTATTTTAATAAAATAGAATTATTAGTAACGATTTGTAATTACTTTCATCCCTTTTATTACAATTTCTATTCTCTTCTATTCTATTCTATACAATATAGGCAGACACTATACTATATTGCCTACTTTAACAACAATTAATTGGTACCAAACATAAAAGGCAAAACTTCTTTTCACAATAAATTAAACAATAGTTAAACAAAACTCATAATGAACAAAGTTAAACTGAGCAATAAGCGATAAATTAATTTGGTCATAACAACAGTTGTTTACTAGTTTCGTCGCGTGATTATTGTCACTTAATAAAAAAGAAAGTTGCCGTCGCCGTCTGTCTGTTTGTGGTAATATCAAATAGTTCAGGAAATATTCTGTCTCGATTCTCGGTTCAGTCATACAAATATTTTGTTGGTTCACTTTATTAGAGAGATTTTATGCAGAGTTAATACTACCTACATTATTTTTATTTTCATTCTTATGAATATATTTTTATAATTATATATTTTTTTGTGGTGGACCAGGTGGACGATCTGATCAAAATCGCTGGAAGGCATTGGATGCAAGCAGCGCAGGACCGATCGTCGTGGAGATCTTTGGGGGAGGCCTATGTCCAGGAGTGGACGTCTTCAGGGCTGCGATGATGATGATGGTATTTTTTTATGTACTTCTTTTTATGAAAATTGCGTGGATTTTTGGCGTGGTGTGGCGTTAATGTTATTTACGTTTCTTACATTCCATTTATACGCCATCCACCACCTTCTGTATTTTCTCATCTACCCAAAGGTTGTCTGGAAGAAATCGCTTAAGCCATTTTAAGCGATAAGACCGCCTAATCTATTTTCATACTCTATAATTTAGTTTGTTGTATATTTTTCTGTTTTATATAAAACGTATTATAATAATAACTAGCTACCCCAGCTTCGCACGGATGTACTATACATATAAAACTTCCTCTTGAATCACTCTATCTATTAAAAAAAACCGCTTCAAAATCCGTTGCGTATTTTTAAAGATTTAAGCATACATAGGGATGGACAGACAGCGACAGCGACTTTGGTAGGTAATAATTATGGGTATGCCATATTTAGTAGGAATATAATTTATGAGATTGCTATATTTGGATGCTGTTACAAAAGTCCTGGTCACGGATCCACTGATATTGGTTGTAAATATTCAATTTATATAATTGTAATTAAAACTTTGTAGAAAGTGTCAATACGTAGGTAATATAGTTCTTATTTATTTTTGCTGATAAACAAAGTAAAGTTCAAAATTAATATATTTATTTGGCAAGTAGTAAAAGAAATAAGAACAGAGTACTTTGTTGTTACTTCTTTAAAAACATTTGCTTCATGGATGTGTGTGTCCAATCCAGGTTAGTGTGTGTAAGTTTTTTTTTATTGCTTTAATGTATTTTTATGCATAACTAAAGAAAATATTAGCATTCTGCACTCCATCTCTATATAAACTATAAGTGTATGAAATTTCATACTCTTCTGTCCACGCAATTTTCGTATAAAGGGATACAAGGTTTTTGTTTTGCGCATTATATAGATATAATATATCAAGTTCATACATGTATTACACTTAAACTAGACTAGATTATGGATACTTTTATTGAATAAGTGTTTATTTTCCTTAGATAACTATTATAATGATGTCAATAAAGACTTCAGTTGACCTATTGCACTATGCTAGCTGACATTATGAGAGTCATTGCTTAAGTTTTTATTTATTTACATATTTGCCATATTGAGCACGAATATTGGTCAGAATGTGTATTTAATACTATAGCATAATCTCCCAGTCAACATTTGGGATGTGTAGAGATACTTGAATGCGGCTAAAAGAATTATAATATAACTGGCTACTCGTCCCGGCTTCGCTCGGGTATTATACATATAAACCTTCCTCTTGAATTACTCTATCTATAAAAAAAACCGCTTCAAAATCCGTTGCGTACTTTTAAAGATTTAAGCATACATAGAGACGGACAGACAGCGACAGCGACTTTGTATTATACGAGTACTATGTAATTATTATTATGACAAAAATTTTGTGTATAAGTTGCTATTATGTCATCCCACACATATTATATTGTTTTGGATGAATAAATAAATATCATAAACATATATATTATACAACTAACATTAACGGTTGCTCAATTAAATAAAGCTTTCAAGTGACAACCCTAGCAATAAGACATGAAGTATGGTGTCGGGCGGTGCCATGAAGTCGGTCGGTTCGCGCCATTTTAACAAGAATGTTATTCGAAAATATTGTTTCACTGTATTCAAATTAAACGTGCTCATGAAGTTTGTTAAATGAATTATACAATATCGGTGCAGTCTAGTTAATTGTGTGATATTGTTTTGGTTTTGTTTGTGGTTATTGAACAATGGTTTTGATATTGTGCTTTGGAATGCATACATTAATATATACAATTTATTGTTTACGTTGAAAATTGTTGATGCAATATATAAATTTTAATACAAAATATAGCCTATGTATTATTCCGATGCCTAAGCTATATTACGGTAAAGTTTCATCAAAATCCGTTCAGTAGTTTTTGCGTGAAAGAGTTACAAACATCCACACTTATAATTTTTCACATATATAATATTAATAAGATATTAAAAATAGGTATATATCTATGCGTGTGTAAGTCTAGATGGAGTTCTAGTCTAGTAAATTGGGTGATATTGTTTTGGTTTAGTTTGTGGTTA